ATAGCCAGGAAGTTGCAAATGAGCTAAAATACTGGCAATGGGACTGTCCTTTATTTCTTCACCCTACCCAGCAACTGTCCCAAGCATGGAAAGTTGTGGGATAGTTGGTCAGTACCAGAAATTGCTGTTCCCAGGACTGTGGCTATATTAAATCAGTCTAGATTTAATATAAATATATATATATATATATATATACATACATACACATATCTATATATATATTTTGCTAACCTTGTAAAATTCACTTTCTTGTGCTTTATATTTTAAAAAGCAAACAGATATTGTAACAAGTAGTTATTCTCTAGTTAAAAACGAACAGAATTTGGGGTTATAGTACTTAAGTAGTTAATCATGTATAATATTTGGTTTTACATTGATGTAGATCTGGGCAAGTGTTAAATACTAAATTTAGTTCAGCAGTTTTGAAAGGCCAATGGTTTTGAAAACAGTTAGACTTTATGTAAAATATTTTGTTATTGCCTTGCATAATTTACATGAAGAAACATGTTTCTAAGTAAATATTACTTTTAAAAGGTTTGTCTTTATTTTTCCATTAAAAATAAAAATCTGTAAATGTAAATTATTCTAATGTAATGTTTTTTATTTCTCAATCAGATCTTGCAGTCTTTACCTTTTAAATCACTTTTTGGCAAGACAACCTATTTTCTGTTAACAGAAAATATTTTTCCTGTCCTCCTCTCTCCTCCTTGCCCCACTTGTCCAGGCATTGGGTTAGGCTGGCCATCCTTGTACAGTGGTCCAGCAAAGCATAATCCTTTGTCGTTCTAAACAGCAACAACCCTCTTCAGAGCCTCTGCCCCCCTCCTCCCAGAAGGCATCGCAATCTCTTGGTTTTTAAGGTTAACTTTGCCTTGAAATTACAGGGATAATTGGCTAGATGAGTGGAAACTTTAACAAACCTGTAAATGCAGATTGCTAACACTTTTCAAAAATCAGCATTTTTCAGCATTTGATTTACTTGTTTTGCACACAACTGAAGTTAAAATGCCTGTTTTACTTCACTCCCAAGCAATTGCTGTTATGCTGTGGTTCTTGGATTACAGGTTGTTTGAATCCACAATTTCACTGATTTATATTTTGAGTCTTTAAAAAAAAAAATCTGAATTTTAGCTACAAGAGCTTTTATTTTTTTAATTGATCCTCCATGTTTTGTGAATTAGTAGTTATCATTTATCTTCTCTTATATTTGTAGCATGTTGTTCTCCACCTTATAAGACACATTGACATGTTGTTCTTTTGATTTTAACATTATATCTTGCAGATGTATTAAAAGAAATTCTGCTTGAACAATTATTTTTTTAATTAATTTCTCATCATAGATTTTGTCTGCCCCTACTTTAAAACCACCATTATAATGGGGAAAAGAGGTAAAAGAAAAGAACAAACTTTGATAGGAATTTTTTTAATATAAGAGTTATAATTACTTTTCTTTGATTCGGATATTAATGTAGTCTGTCCACAGGATTACTGCCAAGGAAGCTGGAACCTGGTAAAGACAAACCTTTATGCTGATATAAACTTGGATTAGGCATAATGGAATTAAGTGCTTACAAGAGCAAGTTATTTTTCTCATTTGCCATTAGCCTCTCATTTTGAACTGTGCAGCAATGAAGACAAATGCCTTTTTTCCTTAATCAAAAAGTATTATTTTAACACTTAGACTTGAAATTTACCAAGGAATTTAGATGAGGACAGTCAACGACTTGTTGAAATTAGTCAGAGATAAATATACTTTCAAAGTCAGTATTTGATTATAGAGCTGCATTTTAAAAGGAGAAATGCCTATAGAATTACCACATGTGAGTTTGAAAAAAAAAAAAAAAAAAGAATGGACATACTGTTTTTTTTTAAAAAGGACATAACTGGTCTTGACTTGTTGCTGTCTTACATTACCATTACTACATTACTTATACCACTTTTAAGTATATAAAAGCTCAAATTTATATAGTTCTTAAACTTATAATAAATTAATAGCAAAATCTATAACCCTGCAAAGAAAGCATCCTGGAAGTTTTTTGACTGTATTCAAATAAGTTTGTACAAGTTTAAGAATAAAAGGTACTGGTAATAAAATCCAGATGAACCAAGAAAGATATGTACAACATATACTTGGGGTGGCCTGCTGTCTTATCATATTATAGGTTTTCCTCTTTATAATAAACATGCAGATATCGCAGATTAAATCTTTACATCCTGGAATAAGACTCATAGATAGGATACAGAAATTGAAAAAAGTGCTGTATCCTAAAGTACTTTAATCTGATCCCAAATCCATCCAGAGTTAATTTAGAGCAGGACCTGTCATTACAATACACAACATGCTGTGAATGTGTTCAGCTATGGCTTTAAAAACGTTCCAGCATGCGTACTTAACACAGGATAAGTATAACTTCTGCACAGGTCCATGGTTCCTAGTTCCTAATCCCTTGGTCTGCCACTGACTTCCTGTATAGTCTTGGTAAATTACTCCCCTTCCCCCCCTCCCCAATTGAATGGTTAAGCTTATCTCTGAATACACTGATGCTTACTAGGAGCCTTGACGCAGTAGCCCAGATCACTGCCTGAACACCAATAGAAAGGTGCTGTCTGGATAACTCTTAGATCCTGTTCAGCAAGTCTTAGCAAAAATCTGCTTCATGGGTAAGCTGCTCCTTACAGAAGTGAAAGTAGTTTTGCTCCAATGTCATGTGGATCCTGTGCCGCTGCTCTCTCCTGTCCTGTGTGTCCCTCCCCTGTTCCCAAGCAGCAGGGTTCTTTTAGAATTGTTAACAGTGGGATCCTGAGACAAATATACCCCCTTCAGCTCCATCTAAAAAGATCTAGAAAAAGGTCCATCTAAAAAGATTTTGGAGAATCTAAAAAGGTTCTCCAAAAGCTGGGGAAGGCCAAGTGTGTAGATAGCTTCTTGCGGTCTGTTAGACTGGACCTGTAGGAAAATGCCACTTGTACAAGCGTTGTCCCCTAAATTGACTTGGTTTTGAGGGTATGAATGAACTTGTATTTGAAGTAGTTTCAAAAAGGGATATGCTACAGTCTACCAGGTGTGAACTAGCTGAGGATGATGCAAAGGAAGCAGTGTTAAAGTTGGGAGATGTGCTGATTGGGAATTACTCTGAATCATTCCTCATGACAGCTAAGTACAGATAGTCAAAAAGCCTGAGGCTGAATTGATTCAGTCTTTGCAAATTAATTTAAGCTGCAAAGATTGAATTGCTAAGCCAATGAACAGGCAATCACTTGATGCAGGAAATGCAGCCACTTGGCTTCAATGGCATAAGCAAAAAGCCGGGGGTGGGGGGTGCTGCTAGAGCACAGCTCGCTGACATGTAGCCAGCATGGGCTGTGTGTTTGCTTCCTCCTGCCACCCCCAAGGTCTCTGGGCTTTGCAGTCCCAAAATAACAGCAGTAGGATTGCAGGGTTGCTCATCACTTCCTGTCTCTAAGTGTCTCTGGGATTTTTAGTCCACAGATGCATCCAGCACTAAGTAAGCCAGCAGAGCAGAGCAGCTCTGTACTTGGGAAGACAAGTTTAGCACCACTCCCTGGCCCCACACCCCAGCAGGGGTTTGCTGGAGTGGGGAGGGGGAACTGTGAGCCAGCCTGCACTGTTCCAGCCAGGGGCCGGGGGTAGCCTTGCTTTCGGGAGCAGACAGCACAGCCCAGCGCAGGGCTTGAAAGCATGCTGGGGAACTCTGATTTAACTTGAAGCAGGAAGGGGTCTAGGACAGAAGTTTCATAAACTAGTTTGAGCCAAATCAGTTAAGTCTGATACTACCTTTGACCGGGTCTTATCTTAAGCCAGTTTTAGCACCTTTGAAGCTGGTTTATGTGCACTGAACTTCTGTTCTGTTACAGGTTGAAACCAATTTCTGATCACTTGAACTGGTTTATGTGGAACTTCTGTCCCTAGCCAAAATGTACACATCCATATCTTGGGAAGCAAAGTGCAAATGTTTCCAGTGGAGGTGAACAGCTGTATGAAAAAAACTCCAGGACTACCACCTTTTAGGGTGCTGAAGTTTAGACACAAGCTCTTCTGTGAGTTTACTAGTGCCAGACACAGAATAAACTCCTGATTCCACTGCTGCAAGAAAAGGTTTAAAAATACTGACCCATGAATGGACCCTCCTCACCTCCCTCAAATTTCTGCTCTCAAATGAAGGACTGGGTGTCTGGGCAGCTCTATCAAGAAATGGACAATGTCTACATCCTGGGAAGAGAAGATAAGGAAAGAATGAGCTAGTCCAAGTTGATCCCTAATATAAATTCACTGGAGATTAAAATGGCTGCTGTTTAACGTTTTTAAAAAAATGCTAACTGGAGTTTTATGTTCCCTGCTTTATAATACTGGCAGTACTGCCAGCACCCAACAGTAGGTGGCGTAAGTACTGGTTGGATGGAGATGGGGGGAAGCGGGGTCCGCAGTGTTTCTCAGAACAAAAATTGGAATCTCGAAATGGAGATGTTCACACTGAAAAAAGTGGTAGTTTATGGCAGAAGCCTGTGCTTTATTTTGGGGAGTTGTAAGTTGCTTCATCACCCCCCGTGATCCATTAGTGTTAACAAGCTCTGTAAAGTTCATTCACAACTCAGCATAAACCTAAGAAAGAATCATGGATTACCATGTAGTAGTGTAAATAGTTTATTTGATCATATGCCAGGAACAGACCAGAAAAGTAACATGAACTGCTTTTATAAAACACTTCTAATATTGCTAGGAAGCAGATCTATTACTAGAAAAACATTAAAGAGAACATGCCAGTATTACAGTCCTCCTGTCTGGTAACATTATTTGCTGTCAAGGATTAAGTTACAAGATCCTTTCAAGTTTACATTTTGAGAAAATGCTTTTGACCATTTGACTAATAACTTCTTGAATCACTTTGCCAAACTGATTGTTTCTTGTACAGATTTGAAAACTTCTGTCACTGTCAGTGAAGAAAGAGGCAATCTTGGCATGTTCTCTTTAGCATGTCAAGTACACATAGCTGTAAGTGAGAACAGGTGGCAGTTTTAATGTAAAAGTTTGGTAAATAGGTAAGCGGAAGTCAATGTGGTAACTCTGAGCCGCAAACTGTTCATTTAGTTAAATATAAAAACAAAACAAAACTATAAGTTAAAATAACATTCAGATTGTATAGCACAGGCCAATGCATTTTTAAACAATATTTACAGTATTACCCAGAGGCTAAAGTGGGAATTAGAGAAGTGTAAAAACCATAAAAAACTGCACCAATTTTGTAGCAAAATATCTGTACATTTAAAAACAGATTATCATATAACTACACATTATCCAAGGAAAAGGGGACCTTCACCAGTGGTTCACATAAAGCACAACATAAAAGAAAAGAAACTCAGTGGTTAAATACTATACAGTAAATTTTACAATTAACATAGTGTGGCAATGCTTCCAGGAAAGATAAGCTATAAGCAAAATGCATCTCCTCTGAAAGTACAAGTTTACCTTCAGTCCAGTTCTCGACTTTGGAGCAGGTCTTGTGCCCTGCCATGACAGGATCAGACAAAATTCCATTACAGCTCAAGGGTGATCTGAACCAGTAGGTACCTAGTAATGGTGCCATGCTTAATGCATACAGCTCCATTTTAAAGTTTTGAATGTAACCAACATAGCTGCAGCTACTGAAAAGTTGGAAGCTGACTCCATTTGAATACGTGTGCCTTTACATTATGTGATCTGAATTCGATTGTCAAGGAAAAACCTAGTGAGGGGGTTACTGTTTTCACCAAATGATGCAAACTAGGCTTGTAGATGGAATTTTAACATCCTCTCTAGTGGGCACAAGATTATTTCACTGTGCTAATAACTGAACAGCAATGGTCCTCAGAAATCCTAATACTGATTATTGAGATGTTAATATCTTAGTGCTAATTAATAAATACACTTATTCCAAAGCTGCCTCTATCTGAAGACCATAGTGAATAAATCTTATACAACATTCTCATTTCATGTAACTTTGCAATGCATTCATATTTTCTAAGTCTCCCTCCCTCGTGATGCTTCCCCACATTGCACACTGGCATATAAAAAGAATAGGTGTTCATTTGATATAAACCACATGTTCACCGAATGACAGGTTCTCACATCCTATTTACACTGATGCGGAATCTCTGTATGATAAAAAAGCTAGTTATGTTTGTAACTCTTTCCTTCTTACACACTGTAAGCCTTTATATATAAAAGCTAGTAAGTGCAGCTGAAGCTTAAGGTTAATTCCTTAGCAGACAGCACAGGAATGCATTTAAAAGCTTGAGTCCACAGCAGATGGCATCCAAGTAATACTTATTTACAGCCTATCAGGAAACCAAATAGGGCTATTGAAGACCAACCACTAAATTGCATGTAACAACAATAACAACAAAAGAGAGAGAGAGAATACAACATGTATTTTACATTTTGGTTAAAAATACTGAATAATGTATTGGTGTACAAAGATACCCAATCAAATCAAGTCCTATTGCTTTGATTAATTTGAGTAGGTACTTCAATTTTAGGCACTTGTTAGCTATGGTTGAGTGGAGAGCCCATCGCTTTTACGTTCCTATGCATTTTCTATGTCTGAGCCCTTTAGAAGGTAATTTTGACTGTGTTCCAGGTTGTAATTAAATGGTAGCACATAGAGTTCACGTGGACAAGTATCATTCAAGCACACCCTCTACTTTACACATGCAGGTCTCCAGCTCACATGGTTATTTCAGCACCATTTACAGAGCGCAAGTTCTGATCATCAAAGCGTCGTCGAACACTTCTCCTCACCGCATCGGCTCGTCGGTAGGGCTGGTTTCTAAGATCTGCAAAAAGGGAATGGCATATCAGAAATGGGTCAACTATGTACACTTCTGTCTAGACAAAAAAAGTTCTGCTGGAAGCCAATCAAAGCAGCTTGTGTCGAAAGAATAGAAGGGTCTTTAAAACCCTTTGAGAACAGAATTGAGCAAATACTGATTTGTCCTATTATTAATAAGATGCTCAGAAGAAAGGTAATACTGGTGGCATTCATGTCTAAATGAATCAAGCTTGAAATACTTCCCCAACTGACTGGTGATGACTCTTTCTAGGAAAGAGTTTGCAGAAGGCAACATCAAGAGAAAACGTTTTAGCAAGACTGTTTTGGTTTTTTGGTATTTTATAAATAACCACTACAATCACTGCATTTTGACTGATAAAGCATGTTTTTCCCCCCTCTCAAAAGGGTTGGAAGCTGAATAAATACACACACACAAAGCAGAATGATGATTTAAGTTTTTGCCAAAGCAAGAATGTTTTTATGTCATATATACATCTATCTTTGGTGAGATGATACATAATAGAAAAGGTAAATGCCCTGGAGTTACTGTGTTTCAAGAATTTAAAGTTCTCTTCTGTCCCATTGCTGCTAACCTGTTCTGATCTAGTGATACTTTCCACTTGGATGCAGTCACAGCGGGGGCTTCATTTCTGCATGACCAGCTCTACCTCTCTCCATTCCTGGTGAAGTCAGGATAAATTTAGCTCCCACTCTCTCCTAGTTGCCCATTATGAAAGTAAGCCTCTTGGGAATGATAAAGGGATATAGTGAGCATGCACAATATAAAAAATACTGAGAATTTGGAATTTGGACTACTTTTAAATATTTTTCTATAGTAGGTGGCCTAAACTTGACTGTTGAAGGAAAAATATGCAGTTATCAAGTCACTATTCTTGCTGCATGCAGATACAAACTTAAAACTTACAAATAGATGTACTGAGAATACTCTGTAAATCCTAACAGGTTGGTTTCTTCTGCCAGCAAATAAATTTCAGTTGGTCTGGGGTACCTGAAGCCTTCTCCAAATCTGAATTTGCACCCAAAAAAATGGCTCAGAGAGCCCATTTAAGGGCAGGTCTTGTATATCCCAACTCTATACAGCAGAGGGAGAAGTTGTCATGTTCAGCTTTTGCCTGCATACTCATCTGTACAGCTTCTAGTCCATCTTCTATTAGATGACCATGCAGCTGGCCTGGGATTGGAGAGAAGCAGAACAGCCTGGACATCAAATGGAGAGTGAAGGACCAGCGAATAGCTGAGACATTTGTGGAGACAGGACTCAACTATCTTAGAAAAAACTTAGCCAAACTTCCCTCCATGGAAGAGGAGAAAAAGGAGGGCACCATACCTCAAAAATGTTAAACAATCCACTTAATGGCTCTGTCTTCTTCCACAGCTTGGAAAATGCAATGAAGCACCTGTCACCTATCTTCCATCTAGATCTCTTTTTTCCAAGTTATACACTGGCTGATTGGGTTGCTGAGATAGTGCCCTCTTCTTTGCTGACAATTCAAGAAGGGCTCTGTCACAGAGGAGATTGTGTTTCTCCCCTCCCCAAACAGTAATGATGGGAGAAGTTTAGAAATCCACTATACTGATGAAGAGAGAAGTAACTGGGGGAGAGAGAAATACCCAACTCACTCAGAAGAACTTCAAACCTGTAACCCATTTCTTTTTTCCCATATTTGCTGAAGCCACACAAGTGGGTTACCATGCCCCTAAATTTTAGTAACACTGGTGTTTGCAGGCCCTAGGAGGAAATGAAGAGATTAAAAATCAGAAGCAGAGATGTACAGGGATGTCATTTATTGTATGTGAGCTGCCTTCCCTGAGGAGCTCTGCAGCTCTGAGCTCCCCATGGCTTTTATGTCACAGGTAGAAATAGAGTACCCAAGGAAACTACAGTGGCCCAGGGGACAGTCAGCAGACATGGTTTCTTGGACTCCCTGCAAGGTCACACCTCTAATTCTGAACAAGAACATTATAAATTAAGTTGGAGAGGATCCTGCAATTAGACATCTGACAGCAGAAATGTCTTTCACCCTCACCCACACTCTACAAAACAGCAATGTGAAAGCAGAGATAGATGTCTGTAAGACACAGGCACATTCCCAGATTACAAGTGTAGCTCATGGTTTTTTACTTTCACCAGTATTACATTTAGCCACATTTAATCAGCAATTTGTCTGGCATACAGAGAGAGGAGGAAGCTAAGTAAAAAGTGATGCTTGCCAGCTCTGTGTATCCTCCACCACCGGTGTGCTAGAAGAAATCCTTACCCTCGAGTGAACATTTGGAAATTTAGTGATATTATTCTTCTTTAGGGCTAAACAGAAAAGAAAACAAAAACACAAAAATGATGGTTAAGTAAAAAATGGGATGGAAAATGAAGAGCAACTCAACTCAGCGTTCAAAACTCCCAGGCATGTTAGCCAATAGAGCAAGAGAAGAGGGTAAGGCCAAGGCTATGAAAGGAGGTTAGAAACAGGAAGGAAGGACAAGATGGCCACCCTGGTCTCTTTGCTAACAAAATTCCAAGCTGCTTTGAAGATTGGCTCCAGGAAGATAATACAGCAATTAACTTGAAAGAGCAAAAACTATTGCGCGGATTATAGTTTGCAATCTTATTAAGAAGCTCTCAAATATACATACTGCGAAAGTAGGAAATGAAACACAGTTGTCTCTACAAGTTACTGATTTCTTAATCCACGACAACAGTGTTAAGACGCATGCTGTGTTAAATACACACTTTCACACCTTGTGGTGCAAGCTGTAAGAAAAAGACTATCCAGTTCCATGCCAAGATTTTCATCAGGAAGTGCTTGCTACAGAGACTTGGGAACAAAGTTCAATGTTTCCCTTAATTTCCCCATCCACATTCAAATGTCTGTCCATAAAATGTATTTGGAGCTGGTTCTGACCAAACAGGAATCAGACTGTGAATTTGACTCTGAATGAACTATATGATCCAATGAATTTTAGGACTTTCTGCTATATGGCATTGCCATTATTAGGGCCTGAAACCAAAGCCTACATCCAGTGTTCCACAATACCCATCATATGGCCATTGAAGGCACATGTACCATGGACACACATATGACTATTGTTTGCTTGTTAACTTCCAATCGTGTTAAATCCAGCTGGCATGGAACTGAAAAACAAAAGTGAGTGTGACAGAATGAGAGAGGATTTAGTGTTCAGTTTGTTTCTTATCTTACATGCAGACATATACATGCAAGCATTGGTTAAAAATGGCTGAAAAAATAAAATAAAATTAATGCTCCTCCCAGAAGCACAAGTAACTTTCAAGCCAGGAAGCAAAACCCAGAGAAGTCCCAGTCAGCTCACATACACTGTAATTCTGCTCCCAGATAGCAATCTTAGGTATTGCAAACATACAACATAAACTGCTGCACAAAGTGGGAAATTTTGAAAGCCCAGAAAAGATAACATAGAAAAACCAAGTGAACAGCCACTTTTAAGACTTCATTTGACCCAACGAGTCTCTCATAAACTGCATGGATCTGTACTGCAATAAAGCTGCCAACAAGATTTTGCTCTGGCAGCAGGCTGTGACTTTCACCACTTGCTGTTCTATGGCATTTGTCAAGCTGATAATAGTGCCTCTGAGATAGGAGATCACACGTAGCATGCACAAAATTGATGAGAGGAAATAAAAGGTTACTGCAACACAAGAACATGCAATGAGATGACGACATAAAATACAACTCCAAGTGGACAGCAGACAATATGACTATCCATTCAACATTCATGTGGCCCTGGCTGAGATCCATACAAATGGAGAAATGTCAAAAACCTACAGCAACCTTTTTTAAGAGCATCAGATGTGAAAGAGTAATAGTTTAGTAATGGAATTCCTCAGTGAGAACAGGTTCGCAGAAAAACCGAGAGCCACGCTTGGCGGTTCGAGCAGTAAAGGGCACTGTCTTCAGCACTGCATGGAAAATAATAGCCAAACAAGACAAACAGAACACAGTAAGAAGCAAAGATCTATTGCATTAGTACAATGTTAGTGCTTTGTTAAAGACATCCTGGGATGGTTTTACATGTTCTGATCAGTTATTTAATTGCAATAGCATTTGCTAGGCTGGGGTTTCTGTGGGAACAAAGAAATTTCAAGCAGGCTCCAAATAAAAGATGTTCATATTTCACAGCTGTCATTGGCTTTGGAAGTTCAGCATTACAATCTAATTCAGAGAGGACTGTCCCACATGATGGTGGCTTACAAATCATTCAGGTTAGCATATTCCAGACCTGGAACATTTTTTCTGGCTCTCCAATTTAAAACAATACTTGGATCTGGTAATGATCAGTGCATCGGACATTCCTCTGAGCATATTTAAAACCTGTTTTTGGTTGGCAAAGCACAGTTTGTAACAGAAGAAAACAGCAGAGCAACTCAGGGAGTTCTAGAGCCTTTGATAATTTTTAACTCTGTTGAAATTGACTAAATATGATATTGCGGGTCTTTACTAGAAGGACACAGACAGCGCCTCAGCAAATCTTGGTTTGAAAACTGCAGGAAAGTTACAACCCTGCAGCTTGCCAGGAGAGAAAAGCCTTAAATTTCTTTCATGCTTCAAGTGCTAAAACTGCTTTCTTCTCTCAAGAAAAAAAAAAAATCATAAAAACCAGCAAAATAAAACCTGGCCAAATACCTTCTTTTCTTTGGTTCAGTGCAATAGAAAAAGTGTTCTCCAAAACCATCAGATTGTTATCATTCTGTCCCTTCCACTCCAAGGGTACAGAATAAACTCAACTATTAGAACAGCTATATATATTAAAAGGATACTCTTGAACACAAGATAATTTAGAAGACATCTTTTTCTTTTAATCACAGGAGCCTTTTTGCATGCAGTGTTCTAATCACCTCTGGCTATATGCTATACTCCCCACAACCTAGGGTTTGTGGCAAGTACAAAGTTTTAGTTTGCCCAAACTAGAAAGAAGTAAAACCATAGCAATTCAGGGTTATAAATCATTCAGGTCTGACCAAATGATTTGTCCTCGGCTGCGCATTAGCACAAGGCAATTACGGTTAGTACATCTGAACGAAAAAGCAAGCGCTTAAATAACATTAAACATCAGTCACTTGGTTTGCGGGATAAAGATTTGCAAGGAAAGATTTGTATGGCATGCATGTATGGGGAGAATGTCTATCTGCATCAGACCGATTTTTTCTATAGCTTATCACAAGCTCTAAGTGTGTCATGACAACATGCTGAACCTAAAACTTGAGACGAAGTTCACCTGTCTGAGACCTAGGCCTATGGAAAATGCACAGGGCACTGAAACCAGCTAAATCTGGTTACTAGGTTTTGTTACACACTACTAAGAAGGGTGAGTTCATTCACATCATTAGAACCAGCTTTCTAAGGTACATGTAAACCATACCTGTTTGTAAAGCTTTACAATAGTTAAGATGAAATCTACATGCAGCCATATTATGATGGTGCTTGTGAAACAGCCACTCAGCCTCCAAGACAAAATTCCTTTACCTGTTATAATATCTTCGATGGCACCATCTTTCCCCTCATACACGTGCCTATTATCTTTGACTTGCCGTCGTCTTAGCTCTGCAATTAGCTCTTGCTGCTGTCTCTTTGTTTTATGGGAAGGAGACTGAAAGGAAATGGGAACAAAGTTCAGTGAAGAGTGATACCCAGTAGCATCCAGTTGCCAAGTTCCCCTTTTCTGGAGTGTTCAAAAAGTCAAATTCAAGTGTGTGCATTTTACAAACATTACCTGCTTAAGAACTAATCCAAATTTTACAGATCAAAGAAGTTAGAGAAACTTTGACCTTTGACCAGGATCATTTGTCTCTGCTTGCAAAGGAGGAAGGTCAAAGTTTGCAAGTGTTCTTTAAGCTATCAATCCTATTGCTGTCCCCTGCTTAATTTTCCTCCCTCATTTATTTAATTGCATTTTTTAAAATCTGTAATGCACTGCTGAAGTGACATAATGAGCATGCTCCTTTTGAATCAGAAAGGGATTGCAGAACTACAGTGAAGCATACTTACCAGCTCGAACTAAATACCCACTGGCAAATGCTACCTAAAGCACCCACTGACAAATTGGCTGTTAGGACTACAGCTGGTTCTCCTTGCCAAATGTAAAGACCCAGCTCCTTGACTGCATGCTGGGAGAAAGCTCACTATAAAATGGAAACCCTGGCCAGGACAATTACAATATTATTGAGATAGGTTTTGGAACAGGAAAAAGGGGAGGAAGGCTTTTACATGTTAGCTTATACATAGAAGGGTCAAGAGAAAGTCAACATATAGAGAAAAAAAAAAAAAGAGGCCTTAGAAGTTAAAGCTAAGGAATAAAGCTGCTGCAGGGCTAGATGATGGAATACTTTCTTTCCAATCTAATCTGTGCTCTGCAACTTGTACAGCAGATAGGGCAGAATGATTCCTTTCTATTTTATTTCTATTCTGTTCTGGGATCGGCTGACTAAGATAATAGCAGTATCTTACAAGCTTTTTTTAATAAAAAGAAAAATTCTGAATAGCATACCAAGATTACTAGTTATGACATTCCCTGAGCTAAGAATTACAAATGGCTAGGAGAAGATATGTACATAAGGCCAGGGTGTTTTATAGAGCAGTGATTCTCTAGAGCAGGGGTGCCTTGAGATCCTTCCTTTCAAGGGTGCTGCAGGGTGCAGTACAATGTCAACACTGTCAGGTCCAGAAGATAAACCCAGAGATTTCACATAGGAATTCATAGCGTTGAAAGTATTCTAACTGTTGTGATCTTTCTGAGTCCTTTGCAACAGAAGAACTGCTCTATTATTCTTCTGTAGTTAAAAAACAAGTGAAAACTAGGAGCTGGTATTTTCTGAGGGGTGCCTTGAGTATGTCAAGGGATGCCTTGAGTCTAAAAAGGTTGAGATCCACTGTTATAGGGCCTTTTTACCACCATTTGCTAACAAACCCCTCTAGGGGGCAGAGAATTGTTCCTTACCTTAGAAACAAAATATTCCAGTAACATTAACACAAAGTCCTGTACATCATACCTTTTGGTCCTGTTGCTCCATCAATGCTTCTTGCTCCAGAAGTTTTTCCATTAAAGCCTGTTCTTGCTTTTTTCTCAGCTCATTCTCCTCTTCTGCTTGCTGTTCATCATAAGGACCAAAAATTTCATGTTTTAGCAACAAACTACTACACACGAATAACCTCCTCTTATCACAAAAATTAGTTAAAAATTCAGGAATTCATGCTCAAGTTATGTGCATTAAAGCAGAGAAAGGGTACTGTGTAGGCATTTAGCAAGCTCTAATATTAAAGGTGTATACACCTTTGCCAAGACCTCTCTGAGAAATATGGGTTCCAAAGTTTGGTTCAGTGTCTTAGACAGTCTTAAGAAAATGGCTGTTTGTTTTGTAAAATCCTAAAACAACTATATGCTCTATGCTGGTTTTATTGTTTCACAACCCTGCTGTGCTGTGCTCTTTCATGGGTCACACTGTTCTCTCATTTTGTACCTTTCCATTGAAGCTGGGGGAGCGATAAGATGTTCTGTAAGCCACCAGCTCTCCGTGTCATAGTCAAATCAGAGAAGCAAACTTATTTCTGCTTACCTTGTAGGCTTTTACAAATCGGACAAAGACTGGAAAGAAGACTGATGGAGGGGTTGTTTTGGGATTCTCCCCAAAATATTTCACAGCATCATCAAAGGCATCCTGTAAGAAGCACATTTTTACTGAGCTCTATGGATTCCAAAATGAACTCACTGCCCATACAGGTCGTAAGGGGGACACTGTCAGCCTCTCTTCCTCTGCATGGTATCTGTTCCTGCCTGCATTTTCGCATCTGCAAAACTAAGTGTGGATGCAAATATGACGGATCACCACACTCTTCCCAGGCTGCTTTGCCTACACAGGCATGTGTTTGGCAAAAGCACTCATATTTGCACCTCTAATTCATAAGTTTGTGAGTCATATTTGCCTGCAAAGGGGAGACTGTTTTGGGATGAATACCTCAATGAGCTAGTTTGAAAGGTCTGTCTGAGAAGAGGGACCTGGGTATAATTAAAGTGTGTAGAGAAGAGTGACAAAGTGATCAGTATCCTGGAGGGATGTATTTCTAGGGAATTAAGTAATACAAGCCAATATTCAGAGCTTGGTGACTGGATGATTCCACGGGTAGAGAGTTGGTGGAACCAGGTCTGAGAGAGAATATAGAAAAGTTCTTAACAGCGTGATGTGAGAGGCTGTGGAATCTTCTCCCAAGAGTATTGTGAGCCCCTCATTTTGAAAGTTCAAAAGAAGACTATACAATGCAAGAAAATATGCTATCCATCTGGCATAGGCAGTGGGACAGAACAGGTTTTTCCCATCTCCAATTTTAATGGTTCAGTGATACTACAGAGTTTTGTTTTGATCTGCTAATTTGTTGGTCAAACTAATTTTACTCTTGCTTTTTTCACTTGAATAACAACATTCTGGCTAATCTTTTGGGATCTCCGAAATAATGGCAGCAGTGTAGTTTTGATCAGTAGTGAACAGAACACAGATTTACTGGGGGAGGGTGGGGGGCAAGACACGACAAATCTTAGACTGGGTTCCACCACTTTTAAACCAGTCTGTGTCCAGAATTTCAGTTCTGTTATGGATATAGATAGGTTTCCGATTACTGATCCAGTAAAAGTGGTAGTGGCTATACCTGGCCTTAGTGGATGAACCATAAACACCCCCAGAAACTAATCAAGAACTCTGCTGATCCTGAACCTCTTCCACTGCTTGCTGAAGACTAAATCAAATTGAACAAAGAGAAATACCTCTGATTCAGCTTCTTCCTGCTTGGTCTTTAGCAAGAATTGTGATTAAAAAAATACCTGTGCTATTTTTGCATCATCTTGCAGTTTCTTTAGTTTTCCTTCATTGTTTTGAATAAACTCCTTCAGCATAGTATTGTGGTCATGCATAGTGTATTCTCGCTTGGTCAGTTCCAGGCCTCTCTGGAGTTCCTTTACATCCAGCAGGACATTTTCAAGTGACACTAAGATGCAAACAAAAATGCTAACTTACCAGTGCAGTAAGAGTACCAACAATCTGCTACATGCTAGGCATGTTTACACGTGCTTTTAGATGCCTCTAAAATTAATGTGCATGAGCCTAAGGTGATTTAGGCACGCGTCCATGGGTGCACATTCTAATGTGTATTAACACAGGTGTACAGACCAACTTGGGACTAATGTTAGTCCCAAGTCAATGGACACACACCATGTTAGTTCACTTTAGTGCGTCTACAAATTTGCTAATGCAATTTAACTGGTCACGTATAAATCTAATACCTGCTTTACGCAGGTATCAAATTTCTTCTCAAATAGCCTATGATTGCCATTTTTAAATTACATTAAGGGTGCACACGTGTAGACACGGGCCCTAAATGTGCCTTAAAATTGGGCACATTAAATGCACATGTGGAGACATGCCTGCTTACACTCTAGCTTCCAAATGAGAAGGTCAGTAAGAATCAGGCCACAGAACAAGTTTGCACACATGGTAACTATTCAGAAATATTAAGTAACATGGAACCTGCACAAAATTCTTCATCAACATCATCATGCATCTTAAACACAAAATTCACAAATGTGCTGCTGCAGTGATGGTTTGTACCAGAAATGTCTGACAGTCAGAAATTCTTGTCTAGGGCTGTCTCATCTGTAGTGCTTGATAAGTACACAACCCATAATGTAACCACCAATGCAGTTGAAGAATGCAGCTTCCTTGAGTCTACTAAGGGCTAAAGAGGGCTCTAGCTTACAAATGAAGGTCTTACCATAAGTGTAAGTAACTGAGAAAAATCAGTTATTTAAAAACTGACATCATGAAAGTACATTTTTTTTTAAGTTTTTTTTTCTGAATTACTGAAATAGTCACTCATAGTTACAGCTTCCTTAAACACATTCATTATTTACAGTTTATCAAACTCAGACTGATGCAAGCACAATCAACCTGAAAATGTGAAGGAATGTTTGCAAAATTGATTACAGGTTTGCCTTGCTTTATGCTGTACATGCATTCCTGGAAAATGGCAAATAACTCAAATTTGCATAAAGGGAACCCATTTTACAATTTAACAAATAGGGATATGTTCCAAGACCTTGACTGTACTGACCCCCAGACCCATATCTACCGCTTTTACAAGACAATTTCAGTACTCACCAACAGCAGACAGTACACACAAGCACAGGGTGGTGGTGAATGTTTAGTTAGTATGAAGAGAGGGTGGTGAAGGCTTCATTGATGGACCAGGGAAAGGGGTAGGAGATATGCTAGCAGGACGCTTAGAAGCCGTAAAGGGATGGCAACCACAGAAACACACATCACGGACAAGCGAGGAGCACAGATCCACACAGAAACCTATATTTTAGTGTGTATCACTCTGCACCACACAAAGTAGCTGACTGCAAGCTTCCACCACACCGATAGCGTAAGAGTGAATGTACCTTGCATATAACTAATTTTTGGTATAAAAAGGGTCATTGCATAAGAACAAACTCACACATACAGAACCCGCATAAAGCGAGGGAAACCTGTATGCTATATTCATCAACTCTATTTCTGACGCCAATCCTGTGACAGCTATTCAAATAAAAGGGAAGAATGCAAAACAAAGATTGTCCACCAAAGATATGTTTTATAACTTTTAAGACCAGGCCAAAGAGACGTTTAATAATTTCAAGTGCAGTATTTGTATCAATTGTATTATTTTTTAACACAAAAGTGGTCTAGCAACTAAGAACTGCAAAAGTCTGATCAATAATCAGTGATTTAGAAATAGTTATTATACAAAGAGTCTTTATCTGGTGCCACTCTCTTCATTTTCTTCCATTCATCTGCAAGCACCTCTAACTTGCAATCCTTACAAAATGGTGTCTAATGACATTTCTCAGTCCTTAATAGCTGTCTCTTTTTTGTGATGGCAAACCTCAAGGACTTGATGAAAGCATGAGACACCATTGTGGAGAGCTAACACACACTTACTAGATGTGCTTGTAATACTGATACTGATTTCCATCTGTAGTCTTTTACCTTTGTATTCTTTTAACTATGTACCTATCCTAATTTAAACTGTCACTGAGTCAGTCCATTTGGTCTAGTGTATTTTTTTTTATTAGAAGATTCAACTTCCACTGCAAACTACTTGGACGATAAGCTCTTTGCAGCAAAGCTAGCCTTTGTGCTCTGTGTCTGTACAGTGCCTAACACACTGGAGTCCTGGCCCATGGCAGGGGCATACAGGAGGTATGACAAAACAAAAACAAAATGAACACCATTTATTAGAAGAGTTGTTTTTGGTGCATTTGTTCGTTTTTTGCAGGAATCTAGCCACACATTCTTATTTATCCAACCTTCTTCTGGTACCAGCTACTATGCATCTTAAAGAGTGGCTTTATCACAAGGCTAATTTCCATACGAAATAAACTGCTCATCTTTCTTTAGATGGTTCCTGAGATAGAATGGCAATAGATGGCAGAACACAGTTCATGTTCCCCTAGTAGTATGTTGGTTACAGTACCTGCAGCTGCCTTCTCCACGTAATGAAGTTCATTGTAAAAGAGGGAAACATGTTGATACTTCTCTTTCACAACGTTGGATATATAGTGCAACAATGTTTGTTTTCTGTCTGTTGACTTTGTTTCTAATAGCTGGAAGCAAAAGAAGTGTTGGATTAAGATGTAATGAGGTTGACTGAATCGATACTGAGCTATCTTTCTCCCATTGTTTTAAAAGCTGACTAGAATTGCCTATAGTTCTCTGGAAAGATGAGAGACTAGCTAAAGTCAGACTATTGCATGCTGTGTGATTTTTTCCACTAGCTCTAGCCATGCACACTCATCTTGACCTGTTGTCATAGTCTTAAGCATCTGTTAAGCAGCACAATAATTGTCTCAACTGTGAGCTGGAGTTTTGATGAACCTGCTAGGCTTTAGCAGCCCAAGGCTATGGTGCTCAAAACAGGTGAGGTCCAGCCCATGGAATCATGTCATGAGGTCTTCAGGGCTCTTCATGGGTCTGGAAATGTGGTGGTGGCGAGTGGAGGCAAATAATGCTGCCCTGACTTCTCTGCTGCCAGATTTCCAAACCTTGAAGGTCAGATGATATGACCCTGTGCACAGGGCCAGGGCCACAGGAATGATCTGGCATGAGGGGCTAGGGCTGTGACCCTAATCTGGTCCTACACCAGTTTGGGCTCTGACTTCATGTGCCAGATCAGGCCCTTGGGGGCAAAAGGTTGGTCATCACTGATCCAAGGCATTCAAACCTGCATCTCCCCAACCCCTCAGGAGCTCCTGTATACTTTCCATCTTTATTCCATTTTTAGATCCCACATACCCCGAAGGGCAGCCTAGCTGAAAGTCAGCAGTTAAGACAACAGCATGTACAGTCTATTGCAAAACTGCCACTAACACTATTGTGTGTGCTGGGTTGCAATGAAGAAAACAGTAGTAAGCATCCTCCCACCCAAATTTAGGTCTTAGCAAGGTTGCTTCCCCCCCCCGCTCACTCCTTACCAAATCTAAACTCTGTAGTTTAAATCCATAAACTGCTCCTCTTTTACTGCTGTTCATGTAGTTACCAAGGGCCAAGATTATCTACCAGAGGAACAGAAAGGGTTAATATGAATACATATGCATGACACTGTTCACTTGGGAGGGTAAGTTTTGACTGTAAAAATGCAGGTACATTTCAGTACACGAGGACTGTTATTCATTAAAATACATTTACTGTTAAAGGCATTTGTTGAAATAAAATTATGCTTACCTCCAGTATTTTTTTGAGCTTTTGGGATGACTTTATTGAGACAGATGCAGCTATTATTGCATGTAGTTGCTAAAGGCAAAAAAGTATAGTTAGTACATGTAACTTAGCCATAAAATCAATGTCTGAACAGTCAAATACTGGAAAACTCTGTTTTCAGGCCTGCTCAGAAATATCAAAACACAGAATTTCTCCTTCCCTCCATCTATGGATTGCTTTGCACTTTAACATGGTGCAATAAACCACAAATATGACTCTACAAAGCCATGATCTTTGAGATTATGAAAAATGTACTACATTGAGTACATTCAGAGAAGCAAAAATATGAAACAATGTTTGCTTGATTTCAACTGATTCAAAAAAATATGATTTCTATTTTAATCACCTGTGTCCCAATGTCTTTATCTATAAATCTGAACCTACATCCATACACACACCCATGGATTCTGCAAGCACAACAGTCCTATGTACAAGTGTTGCAGGCATACCTTAGGATAACTGTCTCTGAAAACAAAAATGTAGCCCATTAAAAAAAATGCTGTAGGCAGTTTTGTGCTATGGTCATTTCATTCTAATGGGAGATCTATTCTGGGGCCCTACCCATGACTTAAAGCACTTGGCAGTATTGTAATAACAACACTGAATTGTAATCAGAGCAAAAAATTGCTCTCTTTGATTATTTCTTTTCTCTCCTTTCTTCTATTCAAAGCTTTTATCTATAACAGTCTCTACTGACTTTGTAAAAAGGGCATCAGGATGTTAAGTGCTTCTCTAGAAATGTATCACTTAAACTTTGCATCAGTTCAATTCATAGAGCTAACCTAGTGAAAATTGTTGCAGGTGAGTGTGTAGAGCCCAAGAAGAGAGCATTTTAACCACCTCAGCTGTGATTACTGTAATTACATTCTTAAACCTACAGTAGAAGTAGACTGGTCTGAAAAATACAAGACATTTTCCCTCATTTTCTTTTAAAATATTTTCCAGTGAACTTTTTCTGAGCAACTAGAGCTGGTGGGCAATGGTGAAAAAAAAACACAAAAAGTTAAATCTATCTTTTAAAAAGTGATATACAGTGTGGAAAGACAGGGGGGACTCAGGATTTTTATTACGAAATCCTAATCTCAGCACATTTTATAGGTCAATTCTAATTTCATCTCTGGATGACTGCAGGTTGTACAGAAGGCAAGGTAGATCTGTACCTTATAAACTAACTAGGTCAGAGATGCATAAGTCTTTGTCGGCAGCAGCTTACTCCATCAGATACTAAGTTCTGTAAGCTGTCTCACTTACCGGTGTCAGCATCTGGATACTTTCTGCAAAGTTGCCTATGAAGGCCATGATAGTCATCTTCTGCATTAGCCGCTCTATCTTACTGAACTGCATCATGAACCGATCTTCATCAGACAGATTCTCAATAGGTTTCCTTTCCCGCTCATAGAGCCGTAACACTTTCACTTCATTCTCAGTAGGTAAGAATCGCATCAAGCATTCAACAAAATCAACTGGCAACGTCTTCAGGTCAAATCTACATAATGACAAACATAAAAGTTGGTGTTCAACAAGAGAGACTTATCCAAGATGACAGAGGGCTTTGCCTGGGCAAAACCTATCCATCTTGCTTCCCACCCCCAGGATCACTATTCAAATGGGTGGGATCCATTATTCCTTCCTTCCTTCCCTTCCTGCTAGATTGGCAGTACCTGATTTTAACTAACTTCATTCACTATGCAAATGGAAAGCATTGGCCACAATTTTATACTAGCTTAACATGGCTGTGGGGGCTCAATTCTGCAAAGTACATGTGCAGAGAGCTTCAAGATTCAAGTGACGGAGAGATCAACTAAATCATTTATCAATTCAATTTTTGAATGCTATCCTCTGACTGTCATGTTATTCCTGACCAGCAGCAAGAGTGGGTCTAGGGAGGGTGGAATGAAGGTGGACAGAATGTGTGACTAATCATACATATCACTGGCCTGATGAAGTTCATACTGACACTCGTGTCATCTTAAACATGTCTGTCATCTTAAACATGTCTGTCATCTTAAACATGTCCATGATTCCAAACATTTATATGCAAAGGAGTGGTGCAGAGGAGGAGACAACTTCAGGTAATTCACAGTCCTCCTGATGTTTATTCTTGAGTCTCTATATTCTCACTTGAAGTCTAAAGTAAGCTTTTTTTCTTACTATTCTGATGTGCAAGCACAAAGACTTGCAAGAGCGAGGTCTGTGGGAATAAGGAAAAAGATGACCAAGCAGAACACAGAGCTGCCAAGAAAGGAGCTGAACTGCTTGCTAGTGGCTGAATGAGGGAAGACTATCAGATAAAAATAGAGATGATTAGACTAAATATATCAGATGAGGGGGAACCATTTGTCTTATTTAAGATGGAAAACAGTAGGATTTTCTCTTGCAATAAAGCTTTTTTTCTGTGACCCTACAGACACATAAACCCATTGTCCCACTTTAAGAACCTGTGAAGTATCGCAGTAACACTTTTTCCCCTGGGACAAGGGGGCTAATTCAGTTAATTGCCATTCAAGCTGCATGTGTAAATGACTGTCCCTCCCCTGTTTTTGTTGAAGCCTCTAGAGCAGTGTTTCTCAACCCGTGAGTCATGACCCAAAAGTGGATCACAAGAAGATTTCAGAGGGTCACAAGCCAAGGGTTGAGAAAGGCCAATCCTGGGAAAGCACTAAGACTGCGGCAGGGCAGAATGGCGGCAGGAAGGCGCCTGCCCCTACCAGCAAGGGAAAGGGCAGAGGGAGAGCTGCGAGGCTGGGCTGGGTGTTCGTGAGGGTGCAGCGGCCGGGAGATACTGCTCTGGGGCGAGAGGGGTTGTGACCAGGTTGCGACCAGGTTGCCTGGCGTGGCGCAGCAGCCCCAGTGCAGGGTGGAGGTTGCCACAGGCCTCCCTCCTCCTCCCTCCTGTCCATGCCAGGGCTGGATTCACTCTGCTGCTGCCCATATGAGCCAGAGCCACTGCAGCCACTGCACAATGGCCTGAGCGGGAAGGGGGCAGCAAGTTGTGGGTTGGGAGTGAGGAACACTAGCATGGCCTAGGGGGACTGTCGGGAACCTTTGCAAATGGGTCCCAGTAGAAAAAAGGTTGAGAAACCAGTGCTCTAGAGCAAGGGTGGGTAAAATAGCTCAAGGACTCCAGCCCACCAGCTAACTGAATCCAGCCCATGGCTGCCCCTACAGCACACCACATGGGGCTGAGCCCCACCTGGGGCAGCCTGCACTGTGCTCCAGTCCACTGGCCAGTGCACATAGCTTACTGGTGGGGCTGCTCCTAGTGCAGCTGCAGCTGCCCAGGTACTGCTCAGCTCCCCTCACCTCCAGCAGCAGCTCCTCCTCCTGCTGCACCACTCCAGTGATT